ATACACACACACACACACACACACTAGCGGGCTTAATTTAAATCAAAATAATGATAGATATATACGTTTGCACGTGTATATCTATCAGATCTCCCGACAAACAGTTTTTAATTTGTTTTATTGCCGACATGGTTCAATATTTTATTACAATTCCATTAGGTATTGCTTTATATCGTAGATGCGTGATTACCYCGAGAGACTCGCCATAAGTATTCTAATATACGAATAGAAAAACCATGTAAATATTACGATGAGAACGAAACAACGACGGCAACAACACAGTACACGCCACACGGTGTATGTTTTGCTAAGGTGACACTGTGTGCCTACGACAGTAACTTCCACGATTAACTTATGATATACTTAAAGCAGTAATTGATATTATATTATTGAATTACCACGCGAAAGCACTGTGAAATCATGCAAAGATCAAGAGGAGATTCAAGTGATTTGCTYCACCGCTTTGCATTGAAATTAATCACGATGATTCGAAACTGCAAAATATGTATAGAAAATATATTAGGTTATAATTTTGTAGATTATTGCCAAATATATTACGTTATTCCCTTSTTATAGGTATAATATAATATATAATAATATGTATATTAAATACTCCGTTTTATCTCAAATAAGCAAAAATAAAGAAATATTGAAATAGTCTGTTTTATAATATTTATTAATGTAGCTTTACAGTTTTATAGTCAAACATTTTATTATGCAGATAAAATTACACAAAAGAACTTAGTATTCAACTCGAAAAACATAATATAATTTAGAAAATATACTGCAGCTTATTACTTACAGCTGCAGATCATCAAAGCGATTTTATTATATACAACACACTTATGAAGAATGAGAGTTGAATACATTTAATGTAAACAATTTAAAAAATATAATATTTAATTAGTATGGTGATATATGACGTGTATTGTTCACATTATATTATTTATTAATGCTGTTGGAACGAAACGTACAATTTACACACTATGATACAATTCTTCACAAATAATTCAAACGCTACTTTTTTTGACTTCAAAACGTGTAATTGAAAAACAAMAAATATTGAACATACTTTATTGCTGTGGACTGTGGTTAATTATTTTATTCAGACGAAAACTTAATTAAAAAGTTTTTATCCGATGTACTCACGCAAAGCTCCGACTCGTTGATCATAAGAAAAATAATCATTTTAACACTAATAAGGAACCTCGAGTAGGCAAACATTCTATGCGTGATGTAAATCATTAGCAAAAAGTCAGGCGGAATATTATCGRTAGTAAATCTATTAAAATGCATTATCTATTTAAATAAATAAATGCTTATAATATTATTATACACATACATTTTGCATTATTACTAATTATTTATTTATATACTAATTCACTACTAATATCGTCTCAACTTGAAACAAACTCAATCATTGGCGTAATTACAATTTTTAATTTTACGCAATTCTTTGATTTTAAGTGATAAGTATTTATTTTAATTTAATAAATTTCCGTATTDATGGATAAAAACTAATTGAGAACTGTACACAGTGATCACATGTGCAATAATTAAAGAGCGGGTAAGTGGGTGACACTYTGCTATACAGAAGGTTACAAGTAGTTCACTGTAATAGGTAGATGGGATTACATTTAAACTCAATGATATAATATCATTATACATATATTATACGAACATCTATTCTGMGCGGAAACAGTTTGTCAGCCATGAATATTTTATAATATAAATTTGTATTTTTATTGTTACTTCTGTAATCGGTAGGTGAAATTAATATTATTTGCATCTTATCATATTACATTATAATATACCTAAATAGTTTCAAGTACTCACGAATAATATTTTTAAATTACAAATATACCTATAACTAAAATCGTTATTCTTGGTTATTTTATATGTAATTTAATTCAAATTTGAGTTTAAAATAACTATGCGAAAAAACTGTAATTATATATTTTTTTTTTTAGATTTTTGATTACGGAATGAACTACTTACATAAAACCTTTATTTTTAATTTTAAATTCCCAGCAATAAAAGTTTAAAGAAAATGGTAAAATAAATACTTGGAGTAAATTTGATGTATCTGCAGATATTCGATTTTGAATATCAACAAAATGAAAAAAGTGTATCATGAGAAATTGAGTAAATATCCAATGCTGTAAAACTGTGAACCTAATAAAAATGTTATTTGACTTTCAATTAAATTTTTTTGATAAATATATACAACCTTATGAGGAATCTTGTAATATATTTTTAAACCTTTAGTTATTTAGAAATTCAGATGCTCATAATTTATTGCAAATTTACGCTCAACTAGGATTTATACTAAATGTTAAGATATCGAAAAAATTAAAACAAAGATAATGTTATCAACTATATTGTATATGAATTTGAGGTCTTAACTATCAWTACAGCTTGAAAAGTTCGATCCCACATAAAGAGTTTTTACTATGTTCAATGTTGTATACATATTTTGTAAGACGAAAACAACACATGTGGTTTTAAAGCGTCTGCAGAGTGGTTACCTACTTTCCCCATTTTTACGCATRTTGTTTAATGTTTACTATAAATGCATTATAATGAACATCGCATCTCAGCCAATTGACATCCATGCATTATTGTATATGCGTATATCCAGTATCGACTCAATAAGAGACAGACGCACAGTATGGAAAACAGTAAAACAAAAATTAGTTATTTTTACTGATTTATTAGTCAATACTTAATGTATTCCACATAATAAATAATATTAAATATCGTTAATGATAACCATTTCTATTTAGTAACCGTCAAAGTTCCGTTCAGTACTTCAAGTACTTATTTTATATAAAYATTATAAGCTTATATGCTGTATAATAACAGCACCATAAGATAATATAAACGTAGRTAATATGTAYAATAATATAAAGTTAATACAAATCCAGTGCTAAATTAAGTTCTAATTGTTTGTTAATATTTATGGTAAATGTGATTGTACACAACATACTAAAATATAAACATATTTATAGGATATTGTATACTATAAATTATATTATAGATTGTTTTGTATTATCTATTAGTGCTCAGAGCCCAGAGGAGATAATTTTATGCTCAGAGCTAAGTTTTCTAAAGTCTCCTAATTGCACAATTACATTTTAAAGTTAACAATATAAATACAATAAACAAATTATGAAGTACCTACCTAATTGTTTAAATAACATGTTATTACATAATGACGTACCTATTACCTACCTATAAGTAGTAACAGACAACAGTCTACTTATGAACATTCTGTCTTTTATAGCTATGAGTGATATGAAATTACAGCAAATTCGATTAATGTGAACAAAATGTATTCGCTATAATATTATATTATATGAAGTAAATGTGCAGTAAGCCAGTAACAATTTTTTTGTAACCTGCTACAAGAAAATAAATATTGTAGATAAAATATAAATAATCCCATGCCTATAATATGTATATGTATATCATTGTAAATATTTTAGATATCGATTTTATTTTTATAACAAGAGACGGCACGATCAGGTATAACAAGAAATAATTTAATAATACCTAGGAAGGTACATCAAAAGCATCAAATTATCAATTAAATTATTAAATTACACTGCTGTATCGCCTGTATCATAAACGAAAGCTGCAACGGAGGGTACCTAATCTGCCGCAGTCCATTATTTAGTGATCGAGCAATAGGAACAAACATATTTGAATATCCTATAAATATTTTTATTTTATTTTTATACATACGCTTAAGTATATATTGCAATGCAGTCAAAGTCAAATGTTCAACAGAGAAAAGTTTTTTAATGACATATAAAATATAAACTTATTTAAAATCATAATTTAGTGTGTATCAATAAATTATAAAAATATTATTTTTTTAAATATTTATCTGACATTAAGTAAATAATATAAATACATGATTAGTTACACATTACAATATAAATATTTTGTTATACATTACAAATAACATTAGTATTGGTAAATCAATGTTCAATCGATTTTCAAAAACAAATACAATAAACAACAATCTGCAATTGGTAACTGTAGTTAGGTATACGTTCAATATAATAATCAATATACATTTTCTTAAATAAATATTTGATCATTAGCTATTATAAATAATCTTGACTTTACATTTACTAATGTTTATTGATTTTATAATTATATAAGTATTATTTTTTAACAGCACATTTTCAGTATCTAAAAAAATATTAACATTTTTGAAAATATAATTATTCTATACTATAGAGTGACACATAGGTACTTCGTAAAATATCGATCTACTATAGTTCAAATCTAAACATTAACTTTAACCTTTATAAGCTATAAATGAGTTTATAACTTTACTGATTTAAAATTCTATTTTTATGTATTAACATTTTTAGAAAAACATTCTGCCTGTAAAAATATAAAATTAATATATATGCTATCGTTAAAAAAAGTAAAAACTGTAAATGTTGTTTTATTATCAATTCAAAGTATAAATATATATATAAACAGTATATTTTCAAAAATGTTAATACTTATATTTTGAGGAAATGAGATAATGATCATTGTTAAAAGAATCATCCTGTATTAACATTTTTYTTTCTTGAAATATAGTATTATTTTATTTAAATAGCAAATTTAGGCACTATTAATCAAAATATAACTTTAAAGGACATTTAAATGTTATTTTTGGGGAAGCGTATAATGTCACAAGTCATAAATAATGAAGAAACCTTGAAGAGAAATAATATAATACTATTAATACTAATGACTAATGAGTAATGAACTCAGATATTGTAACAATATTTAATGTTTTTTACATAATGTTCATAAACTTCATAAGGGGTAACTATATTATAATATTATATTAATCTAAACATTCTAAACATATAACACTTATTATAAAATTTTTTTCCATATTTTAATGCATTATTTTAAAAACAAAGTAATAATAATATTGTCAGCATTTTAGTTTAAATGCACCTACCTACACAATTTTAAATTATCTTTTCTATTTAGATAATTTTATAATCCGTAATTCTATGTGGATTATGTTTCCTGCWRTATAATATTTAATGTATGATTTATATGGCATATTCTATCACAATATTATAATATAAATCATTGGTACAGAGTGATTAATTAAGCATGTGCATCTCCATTCTTTCTTTTAATAATTTATATTATTTATTTAGTATTATTTTTTTAGAGATTTGAGATTTAAAGTAAACTCAGTAAGGGATTCTATTCCATTCCATATACTTGTTAGCAAATATACGTATACCTTATGACATTTTTAAGTATCGACTATTCCAGTCATGGGATAGAATCTTCTGAACATATTATTTGAATTTTTAATGATGCTTACTTGAAAAATACTTCTCCACTTTTTTTATAAATTGAATTAAATCTTTGAAAATTAGATTTAAAAATTTTAAATTCTATTGAATTCAATATCTAATATTGAAGTAATAATAATGAATTAAAAAATGTAAAAAAGTCGTTTCAATTAAATTTCATGACGAATTCAAATATGTTTTTAGAAATAAATAAGTTAGTTAAAACAATTAGTAAAAGATTGATAATTTTTTTTTCTTAAATATTAGGTAAATATTTTAAAAACAAAATAATATTAATAATTGAAAGTGGTAATACGTTATTGACATGTGTGTGCAATGCTCCGCTATTTATTTTACACATACCTACCTACACAAATTAATAATTATGAATTACTACGCACACAATATATACACGACCTGAAAGAAAACACATAGGAAATTGCCTATATTAAACTCCTTAAAAACTGACGTATCGAATTTCTTTAGTATCTTTAAATATTTAGATTATTTTATATCATCTAAAGAGTGCCATCCTGTGATGATACACCCTTATTTTTCCAAGTAAACCACATATTTCTCGATAAATTGTTAATCAGATAACTGTTGAGAATGTTGATTGAAATTTCAACGATCAAATTTTGAATAGTTTAACTCTGTGTAAGTGTCTACGATATTATAAGACCTATCACCTCAGTTAACCCATAACATAGAAAAATAATAATAGTTTTGGAAGACATGGATTGGGAGCCATGGTAATTTAAAAATTGTTGTAATTAATAGTAATCTATCAATTATTAAATAATTTGTAAAAATGGTCCAAGTTTAATAAATACGATATTCAATATTACTCCTTTTTATATTTTTCTAAAAACATTTAAAATGACAAATATTTTTAGTTTAATAATTTAAATTAATACACGAAATTTGAACTAGGTATTTAAATCAACATTTATAAAAAATAACCACTAATTAATCTACATTTAAAAAAGAGGGTGGTTTTCATTTTYTTAGGTATTGCAAAAATGTTTTAAGAGCTTAAAAATATAATCTTAATAAGTTAAAAATTCAAAAAATCAGATTTTGAAAAACTGTCACTGTGTTTAATATGGTTAATCAATCACCAATAACATATTTTATTTAAGGAAGGTTTTTCAAATGTTAATAAAAATATCTCAAACCGAAGTTAATTGATTATAACATATTTATTTATAATTATTAGGTAGGTATATGATTATTATTAATTACGTTTACAGTTTTATTGCAATTTTAGATACCTAATAATATTTGTTTCAGATTTAATTCGAAACGACTTAATTTTATTATGTTTCAGTAGCTTTTGTGATTTTTTCGTAATACTACTGGGAAATAAAAAATAAATTGAAGTCCCAAGTACTCTCATTAATTTTCTAATCTACTTATTGGATAAGTCTGGAACATTTGAGATACTGGTGGCCACAATATCAGACATAATGTTTCGAATAATGAGATAATATAGTAATTTAAAAAGATTAAAACGCAATAGCAGCTGCTATTCCTCTCTTCAGGATTGCTTTGTATACTGCGAATAAAACTATTGCAATATTATATTATTATATATATTTTTAGTTGAACGCGGTGAAAAAAAAAACGACACAATATTATCATCATGCACGTATAGTGTAGACTGTTGGCTAATAAATAATAATATTCAGAAGAGAAAATAAAAACCAAGTAATAGGTACATAATATTTTCGTGTGGAGCCATGGAGGACGAAGATATCTATAATAATATTATGCTATACGCATTTACCTACTTGTTACATGTACCTACATTATTATTTATTATATACATAACTTATAATATAATATTTTATTAAACACGCGTACATATTGGTAATAATAATTGATCGGCATGAAGGACACCTTACGCGTGGAGTATATAATGATATATATATTATATACCTAGTGCCTACCTATATTATGTGAAAACTAGAGGATAATTTTTTCTTAAATTTTTTCGATTTCTCCGGCGTTTTTTCATATCATATTGTTATACAAATGAATTTAAAAAATGCGACGTTGTCGTCGTTTGCATAACCATCAGTACGCCATAGTAATACGTGTAACTCCTAAAGGTTATTATGCAAAATCATTTGTTGTCAATGTGCCTATAATATAGTACCTCAACGTGAAAAGAAATTTTATTGTAAAATAACGATTGACTGTAATCGTTTAGAGATCGCATAAAATTACTATTGCACCGATTTAAAATAACACGTCTGCAAGTTGCCTRTCGCGGACCGCGGTGGTTGTTCACTCGTCGTAACTCCTTAATCGTAAAATCACAACGACGCAAGACGAGACGACAAAAATCGAAAAACGACGGAGTCATAGAATAAATTATTTATAATAGATAGATACATATAAAATATAGTATATAGTATATACTATATTTTATATGTATCTATGTAGGTGTATACTATATACCATACAGACATAATAAATTAATAATTTTATAAATTTATAGCTATTAAAGTATTAACCCATAATATTTTAGACATAAATATGGTCCTATATACTGTACGCGTCTGTAGTATATGTATCAAATAAATAGTCAGCGTGAAGGGTGGGGGCAAAGCGTTTTGTCCAAGGGCATTTGTCTATAGAGCCTCGTGCATTCAAGGGCCTAGTCGCCTAGTGCTTAAAATTTACATTGAAAACTATTTTACATGGAAACCGTATAGATTATAGGTTAGCGCTGACTATATACTTTTTTGGTTGAATAAGTTTTGCCCAGGGCTTCGCAAAAGGTAGCGCCGGCCCTGCAAATACATTTTGACAAGATATAAATACGYCTGTTCGATTCCATCAGTCATATTATTGTACTAGTGTAGGTCGTTGGATTTGTTGGAGAGTCACTTCATGTTTTTAATTTCCAAATAACTGTAATAAAATTACTTTTTAAGTGATTTATACGCAATATAAGTTTTTAGTAGAATAATGTATTACTAATTGTTGGTTAAATAATATATATTTACATATGAATAAATATATCATAATATATTAATATATACGATTTATATGTTGTAACTCGAAAACAATGTGACTTGTCCATGCAAAAGAGTAGGTAATTTTTGAATAATATTGAATTACGATAATTTTGAACGGTTTTTCCATAATAAATGTGATTCRATTTGGAGAAAAAAAACTAGTTTATCCAATATCACTTCGTTATTGTACTGTTTATGCCGTTTCTAATTGGCAGTTGGCACGTAAATTGCGTCTGTCCAGTGTATTTTGCGCCGGAAGGTTTCTCGTTGGAGCGTGGACCGCGAAAAAGGGACTTGCTTGTCCGCCCACGTCTCGGTTGTCCGCCCGGAGCGCTGATCCCGGATAGTGTTCGGTGCGCGATCTATGACGATCGTTATTATATTGGCGGGAAGAGTTGCGCGAAAAACAGAAAAATAATGTTATCCTATAATAACAATACGTAAAGGTATATTATTATTATAGACGCATACGCTCGGCGCGCGCTAACATCGCCGCCGCCGTTTTATTGATCGTCGAACCAGCGCGCCGCCGCCGACCCGCCCCACCCCGCCGCCGTTCGCTACAGCTACGACGACGGACGCGACACGACGCGAGACGCGACCGCCCTCAGTCTACCGCCGTCAGTGACAGTGTCGATTGTTGTTCTGTGATCCGTTGTTTCCACCTCCGATAGTCATAATTCATAGCTACAGCGCAAAACCTTCCCCGCCATTCTGTTCGCGGATTTTGTTTTTCAATCTGGAATTATTGTGATAAGAAAAACTTTTGTCGTGGCTCACCCGCGGTAGTGCGATATATTTGTCGGTGTTCGTCAAGACAGCTGATTATTTTTTTAATCGCTCCCGTCACGTCGCTTACTGTTTTTTTTTCTCGTATGTTCGCGATCTTAGCCGTCTTCCACCGCGGTTATCCGCAGCGGAGACACCTGCAGTCGTCGTAGTTCGCGAACCGTCGCCTCGCCACGACTTCCATTGCTACACCTCGGCATAATGGCGAAGGTAAGCAAATTGACAAACAATAAAATGCAATATTATAATGGCTTGTTGTGATAAAAAAAAAGCGGTTATATGAAAAAAACAAAACAAAATAATGACAATAATTACGTCCGTCCGTCCCATTGTTTTCGAAAATCGAGTAGGATCTATGACGCGACGCCGTGACAAAATGTAATAGGTACCCGTTACAATTTACAATAACGAACGTATGAAATAACGATTGTCGCGACACTTGGTAATAATAATCATAATCATAATACTACGTGCATTGTTATCGTCTCTCGCGCGTGTCGGACGACGACGTCAAAATCGTGTAATTTCAGTAGGTACAGTATTATTACAATAACTCCGGCGTGCTGTCGGCTATTTTTACATATTATTCGGGTCAGGTGTCCGCCGTCCGCGTGCGGTTTTCCGCGCGCAAGAGCTCGTGRTGGCCGGCGCGGCGCGGAGGGGCCCCTCGAGTCGCGCTCACCTGGTGGCCGCTGTTGCAGTAGCGCGGCCGGCGGAGGTGCTTCACCGCTGGAACGTTGCGGATTTTTCGCACGGTTCTCGGAAGCGAAGAGTTCACCGCGGACCGAACCACCAGCGTGTGCCGCATTTGYCGTTCGCTGAAATTATATTTTACTATTCGTTAACCACGAACAGATCGCGACCGTATCGTACGGTTTTGCGGAATCAGATGAACGATTATAATAATATAATTTATGACGTCGATTAAAATTGTATGTACCTACCTACTTAATCAACGATATTAGGTACTATAAGGATGGCTGTCCTCTATGCGGAACAAAAAAGAAAAAAAAAAGTTTATAAACGCTGTTAACGTCATCGCGGTGTACAAATATAACTCCCGATCGTAGGCACTAGGCATTCTAGCTCTCTCTGCGAAAGTCTTATCTTAACAAAACCGTTGGTTTCGGTTTTTCTGTACAAGAATCTAAATTTTACCATTTTATCATCGGATATGTTACATTGTGTGATTCGTGTTCGTCAGTGATGATAACCTTGGTAGAGAGAGCCCGCTCAGCTAGCCATTTCCCAATATATAATTAGTTACCAACGATAATAATAATACACGTACTCAGCTATATAGGTGTAGATATCCAACACCATAATAATTGTCAAACATAATATGTACGTTTTTTTTTTTTTTTAACGTGATACTAATTGACAATAGGTACTCATTATAACAATATTATATGGTTTGTGGTTTGTACTATCGTCTATGCGCAACGTATTATAGCAGCCCGTATGGGTGTTGCTTTTATTTTTTGAATTTATTTATTATTTTTTTGAAATTAGTACCTATACCTAAAATATGTTTAGTATTTACCATCGTAACCTATTTTAAAATTTCGAACAATAAAATATATTCTATGTTATTTATTCTATACTCGAGTAATGTTTACCTGAAACACAAAACCAACAGTTCAAATGTTACGGCATACCCTATTTATTTACTCAGGTGAATCCTCCTGTGTTTGAGTAGGTACACCTGCGTTTGCGAATTGATTATTTATGATAGGTGCCTATTCTTATTTAGGACATTTAGGTAGGTACCTACGATGTTACAGCAAGTACTTATAGCTTATAGTTACCGGTTGTGTTACTTAAAATATGCGTATGGTTTTGAAAGTAATTAAAATCGTTGTTTTAACTTAGATTGCTAAATTTCAAAAATATATTAACCTAATAAACTTATTATAAGCATTACGTATAATACGGTTAATGKTATTCGATTTAGTTTTTAATTTTTTAATTTAATTACTGACAGAAATGTTGAGAATTTTTATAGATTTATAATTGTAAAATATATTTGTATGTTTATCTATTTCTTTCTAGTATTCTCGCTAATGTTTTAGTACTATGATGTGTAGGTCTATAAATTCCATGTTGGTAGTTGATACTAGTGGGTAAGTGAGATCTCACGTAATTATCACGTAACTAGTCTACGGCATTAAATAGATTTCTAACATTATATGTTAGATATATACTATACCTACCTATTAAATGTTTTTAAACAACAAATTATAAATACATTATTATATACCTACTTCAGTTTTTGTATTCTGTTATTTTTCTATCATTTAAATTATTATTTCAATGAATATTTTACGAGATATTTTATTAACAAAGAGTTGCGAATTCATAATTAACTGTAAGCAACAATAGTAAAAACAACATTAATATAAGTGAATTATATTACTACCTAACATCTTGGAAGAGATATTCCCTAATGGCTGAGTTTCGTAAGAAAGTATGTGATCTTGAGTCATGTAACAAGTCTTCAGTTTGACACATTGACACTGATGACTGATATATAGGTAATATSCCGGGTAATATATAAAATAATAGTAGGTAATTAGTTATTTATATTTAAGTTAATTCTAAATCAATTAGACAATAAGACATCGCTATTAAAATATTTACACAAATAGTAGGTTAAGTATCTATTAGGTACCTAGAGACTTAAAATGTTTTCTTTTTTTCGGCAAGTTTATAATGTTTGTACATAAAACGTATTTTATGGTATAGTCTTAAAACTAGTCGATTTTGTTTAAAGCAATTTAACTGAATACTGATCAGTGATCATACAATATTAGGTATAAATCGAGGTATAAATTATATATTAGTTAATATTTTATAAAATACAAATTTCGGTGTAATTTTTTTTTGCGAGCCCGCAGTAACAATTATATTATTGACTGTTATGTTTCCATTAGTTTCGTAATTTTAAAATGTTTATATTATCTTGATTCAACGTTTGAAACTATCATTTAAGTCATTGTCTAGAACCATTTTTTTTTTAAATTTCAATTTGATAATTATTGTCATAGGAGATAGAACTCCTATGTAGTTAATTCATACTTTAAAAACTATTTTCACACGGCCACAATCAATTWATCAGAAATTTATTCCTATTGTATACAACATAATATATTATATAATAACAGCTAGTAGATATATTTTATTCACTCAATATAAAATTTTTCCCCAAACGCACAGTAGTTTTTTTTATATAATACAATTGTTTTCAAACATTATTTGAAAGGTGCGATCAAGTTAAAAGATATTTTTTATGTAATGACACTGGTAGAAAATTCGTTATATTCTTGGTCATTAATTATTTTGTATTACAAAATTATTGATTGTTTTTGAGTAAACCTTAAATATAATTATAACATATATGTTTAATATTATACATAATATTATGATAGGTTAGGTTAGGTTATGTTTAATAATATACCTTGGGCAGTGTTCTATATAGGTTCAACTATGTAATGCATTTAATTTACGTACACCTGAACCAGTATAGTATGCCAATCTAGCTAGTAGGTATAGGTACCTAATTATTTAAATCTTATTCTAATAAGCTGGAATTGAATACTTTTAGATTCTGAGCGGAGCGAGGAATGTATTGATTTTACAATGATGTTTAWTTTTTTTATTTTTTATTCTGTAAACACTTTTTCTCCTTCTAAACTTGCTCAAAAGTATCAAGTGTAACATCTTTTCTGATAGGTTATGTTCTTGAACTGGTACTTTTTTTAGCAGGTCATTTTTTGATTTTCGAAACTGTACTCAAAATAAAAGCGGTTAAAGGAGAAAAAGTACGATTTCACGATTTTATAATATTAAATAATTACGGACGACGTTTTCTACCAGAAATATTGCTTCAAATGAAAAATGACAAGAGATCTTTTTGTTGTATTTTTGATTTTGTCCCTTACGGTTTAAAGTTCSGAAAATTTTAGCCATTTCTGAGCTATTTATAGACATTTAAATTTTGGTAGTTTTTTTGTTGTAATTCGGTTAAAAACATTCGTAAAATCTTGAAATTTGGGTTTGTTTACCTATATTAGCCATACCTGGATATTGTAAATTTTTCAAAACATTTGAGCGACTTTTTAAATCTATGATTTGAAATTTTTTAATAATTTATTATAATATATTATCCTAAACAGATAAACCGTCTCCGCTTAGAATCGTTTTTCTTATACAATGATATTACATCATTGAATTCAAATATAATACCATCCATTATTACAGTAACCCACTTGTAACCTACTGTACAGTTGAGTGACATCCACGACTTACCCGACTTAAAAAAATCAATTTTCTTGATTAATTAATGTTTCCTATATAAGATGAATCCATTAAAGTACCTATAAAGATTTTCATTTATAAATTTATAGTATAATTTGATTCTTATACGTATAAATCAAATAATAATATCAACTAACGTGTTATTCACGTTCGTATTTATCCGGTTGACTCCAGTATTAGATGCTTAAACTAAAATAATCAAATGGAAAATATATGTAGGAAGTGCAAAATAACTAAAAAATTGAAATATTTTATGGTAGAATATAGGCGTTCCATATTKTTATTACGATTATTTTATCGTAACAAATAATCTAACTTTTAATAACTCTTGAGTCTTGACAGTACGTGTGACCGGTAGGTATTATTAGCAGATAAAATATGTTTGGCCAATTTACATATTTTTGGTACTCTTGTACTATTTAGAATTCGTATAGATAGGTATAACTTAAAGTTTTTACGGTTATTTATATATCGGGTTTAATGTAAATAATCTACGAGAATCTGTGTAAAAACTCCGTGGGTTCATATTACTATTCCTAGYTTCGGCTGGGTTAAGTTTAATGCTGATTAATAAATCATAATATCATTAATATAACTAACATAATAMAAAATTCACTCATTAAATAATAGTTGGTACATCGCAGTCAGATTAAATATTAATGTATTTATATTTTTTAAATTTTAAGTTTATTGTAGTAAGAACCCTTGTAAGAACCTCATCTTGTCTGGTATTTACCGAAACTAATTTTGTATCATACTGACTCAATGCACTTTTTACTCGACTTTTTAAGTATGTTCAAAATTAAATGCGCCACTTTTTATACAATTTYCATGGCTTATTTTTTCATACCTATTTTTATTTTATTTCTTCGAAAAATTAGAACCAATAACCT